ATTTATTCCTAAGGTCAGTTGGACTGGGCAACCTTCAAATAAGCCAAATGGAAAAAGGAAGCGTCTCTGGGGTGGGAACCGGAGCGGAGCCGCTGCAAGCTCCGGCCACACGAAGTGCAGGTGTGGACCAGGCGTGGACGCGGTGTGGACGCGGTGTGGACGCGGGATCTGGCGAAAGCGCAGGAGCCTCCAGGTGCGCAGCCTGAAGACAGCGACGCGGGCCGCGGTCTTTAAAACTAATGCGACTTTGCGTGCACATCCCAGACCCAGCGAGTACAACTAAGGGTTATCTGTGCACACCCAAGTTGTGTCTGTGAACTTTTTAAAGGTCTCTTCTAATTTCCACAGTAAAACACAATCCAGTTTTCTTAAAGAATTAGAGCGTTACTATCCAGAGTGCAGGTTTTAGTCTGTACGTCTTTCTCCACAAAGCAGAGCCAGAAGTAACTGACTATTGTGCCTAAAACTCCGTTTCATTTTTAAAAACAAGTGCCATTAATATGAAATATCTACTGATAAGTATACAAAATGCGTGATTATTAGCTCAATTTAGCTATCCCACAGTGTATACATATTTGAAAATTTGTACATGATAAATATATACAATTTTACTTGCCAATTAAAACAAATTTTAAAAAGGAATATTTGCATAGCTGCCTAGAACAAAAGCATCTGACATTTTTAAAATGTAAAAAACAAAAAAACAAAACTGCAGAAGAAAGAAAAAACATTCAGTACTTAAGAAAGACTTCATCTTCTGTTTTTGAATGGCTTCTTGCCCACACTTTTATTATCATGTTCCTGATAAAGCAGTTTCTGGAAAAGCTGGGATTGAGGACAAAGCCTGTATAGAAATGTTATTTCAGGAAAAAAATACGTAGCTGAAACCCTGAATTATCAAGACGTTTACAGTATGAAATCATGTTGCATTTAATCATGTACTTTATTGTCACCACTTCAGGATATTCCCCACGTCATAAGCAACAACGAGGTCTGCAGAGTGGAGTCGTTTTAATACAGTGCACAGAACAGCAACACCCATATGCCTTACAGGCAGGACTCAGCATCCTGCCACAAGCACCTCTGCACTAACAGCCAGGTCTTACGTGACATGAGGCACTAGAGGGGCCACACCCGACTCTGCTAGTCGACTGTCTTCACTGAAAAGAACCCAGCTACCAAATTGCCTTTTTTTTTTTACACCACAAATCATAATTAGAAACTTGAGATTTTATAGAAATTGTTTCATCATAGAGATGTCATATATGAATGGATGTGAAAATAGTATCTGTGCTCCTGTGTCTACAACTGTTCTAAGTTATGATTAATTGTCCTCTGTTAGATTAACATTTGAAGCTTCTAGACTGTTAGAGCTATCTAAAAAGGGGGTGGAAACTCACCGCAGGCACCATCCATGATTGCTGTGTTTCAAATAACTCAGAGCTCAGAAGAAGTGTATTTTATGAGTAATTTTAATTGAATCTCTTAATTAGAGTGCCCCAATGGGATACATTATTTACCTGTTTTCACAGTTCTGAACTTGGAAAGAAGCGAAGTGTATGTAACTAAAACACATTTTTTAATTGCTCTTTTTCATTTTTTTATGCTTAATCAGATACACATTTGTGGACAGGGAAGCAGTACGTGAGTCACTGTGTAGTAGAGACAGCCCTAGCTAGCGTCATCACTTAGAGCTGAACGTTTGGAGCTGGACTGCACCTGTTCCTTGTCCTTGTGCCAAAGGCAGATGTTTGCACCTTTTTTTTCTGATTCTCAGGTTGATTAACACTGCTAATGCAAATGCTCAAGTAGATGTTCTTTCAAGCTTCACAGAACAGTTTCCAGTGACATTTTCTTTCAAAAGAGAAGAGCTGATGATTACACGTAGTAAATCCATGAACTACAGTAGTTTTGTATTAAGTAGAACTTTTTCTGAAATGGAAATGTGTTGGTTGATGTGTATACAGTATGTTTCTGTGACATTTTAGTCCTTGGTCTTTGCTAGAACTTGAGTTTCATCATTTAGTAGGGTAGCGGATGGACTGATACGGCTCCCTCAGAGGTCCACGTGAAACACTGCGAGTTTTACTTTTCAGTACAATGAGTGATTTTAAATGATTCAGACCCTGATGTAGAACCTTTGGCTTTTAATGTTGGATACATTCTGAGGAAACAACTCTGACCCAACTTAAAATGTCTGCATTTGTATGTTTATTATGGCTTAGCCCAGTGACTTTGCTCTTTAGAGTTTGTAACTCAGAGGAAAGATACAGGATTCAGTGGGGATCCAGCAGTATGAAAACAGGGAGACTCCTCGGTGGAAGGCGAGGCATTCCCCAAGGTGCTTGGACTCGACATGTGCTCATCGCCTACCACCATCATGGTCAAGGTGGGGCTTATGCCCATGAACTCCCTTACGGGACTGTGAGAACATAGCTCCCAAGGCACGTGAAAGCACTTAACACAGTACCTGGCACATAGCACTCAGTGACAGTTTGGCTCTACTATGGGATTGTCCACCTCTTTTTTAAGGAAGGAAAAATAACTCCTAATATTATTTGGGTGTCTCCTGTGTTTCTTTAGGATGTAGTCATAACTCTAAACCTGTCATACTTGAATTTCACTAAGGGAAGTAAAATATGATGAAGCTAGCAAAAATCTGAAGCCAAAGTTGTTTCCTAACAGCTTTAATAATGCTTGCTTATTTTGAATAATCTTTTAAAAAGTGGACCAGTTGTCTAATTATTTTAATATTATCACTTCAGTAAAATGTTAGTATTAAAAAGATCAGCTTTTTATGGCATTGAAGAATGTATCTGCTAAGACACAAACATTGCTTGGTATGTATATTAGTTGGAGAAAGAAAGTCATAGCTGGATGAGAATTTAACTGACTAAAATATTCAGACGTGTAATACCTTCCTGCCCCCAATCCCTGTGTACATGTGTATCTGGGCATTGTGACATCATCAGGGTGTGCAGGGAGAGGTGGCCGTTGACCGACCCTGCTCACTGTCTAACAGGGTGGGCTGGCGCTTTGTCCTGCAGGGGGAGCCCACTCTACTGTGCTGCTGCTCATCAGACAGGGCAGTTTTCTTAGGACTCGGCTACTCTGATGGGTTTATTTTAGGTTTTGGTACTTTACACAAACACTGTCAGAAGGTACAAGTGTATTAAATCACTAATTCTGAGGAATTCGGGTACATTTGTTTTAATATATTTAAAATGTGCAGTGAACTTCTCTCTCTTTTTTTTTTTTTTTAGCAAAACTATTCTTATCATTTTAGGTCCAGTTATTGAGTTGACAGTCTACTGTGAGAATGAGATGACTTTTCTACTGTGAGAATAACATAAATGATGAATAGGTTATTTGAAAACTTTTATACTCAGTGGTGTTTTATATATTAAGATAAAAATATGCACACACGCATGCAACATGCCACATCTCTACTGTGGAGTTAATGTGAAGTTTTATAAAACAGAATTGCAATCACAATCATCTAAAAGAACATTCACTCTATGAGGGTTTACAGAAGCCACTGAAAGAAGAAGGTAGGCGAACACGCAGGGTCATCATCTGGGGTAATGTTTATTTTATTTTAAAATGTATAGTGCTACTTTGAAAGAGAATTGTCTTTATTCCTGTGTTCTTTTTGTGACTGAAGAGTCATCTGATAGAAGCCGTAGAGTAGCTACTTTTTAATTGCTGGCCAACAGCTTCAAGTGCACTTTCTTTGATTACACTTCCATTTTTTGTTAAACTTGAATTTTCTGAAGCCTTTTATGTACCACTAAGCAAACAACTTTAACCTTTAAATAAACTGAATTTACATCACTATATTTCTAATTGTTATAAAACATACTTGCTAAAGTAACTTCCTGCCCTCAGATATAGCTGGGAAACTGTTACCAGATAGAATCCATTGTTTTTAACCCCCTCTATGTCCAATTAAGCACTAACTGATCTTATCACTTTATTGCCTTTACATTGCTTATACTTTCTGACTGAATTCTGTCCCTGATTCACTTTGTTTAAAAGTTAAAGGTATTTTCTTACTGTATTTATCATTACCTGTTTTAATAATCTGCTTTCTTTAAATGCAATAAATCCCCAATGAATTGCATATTCTTCATAGTTACTGACTCTGGAGTTTTTCATTATTTGTCATGTTAAAACATTTGGATGTAAACATCTATTCATTTCTTTTATTCACACCACAGACTTTAGGCACCTATTATGTACCAGCTAGTGGAAGAGAAAAAGTGAGTAAGATTAGACCCCTGGTTCTTAGGGAGCTCACAGTTTAGGACAGGTAAGAAAACTCATTTGACCTAGGATTTTTACAACAAGGACACTTAATAGCATAAATATTTAAATCCCTATAATTACTGATACTTATATTGATGATAAGTATAATAAGTAAGGCAAAAACTTATTATTCTGAAATGTCTTCTGAAGAATTTGTTTTGCAGTTTTCATGTTATGATTTTTTTAAAAAATCTTCAGAGACTGGTTAAATAAAATATTTATGTGGGCAATTAACATTTTGATCCTTGATTATTATGTCAGAAAAGAGGCTTTGACGTATTAAAGAGAAAACATTTATTGGATTGGGACAGTAAGCTTGGCATCAAGGCTGCAATATTATCTGTTGTTATTCCACAAACTGGAGTCCTTAGGTTGGAAGCCTGTGCAGTAATGCATTTTATTGTTATGAAGGGACTTCTTTTGAAGTAGTAAGATTTATCTAAAGTTAAAAATAGGGACTTTGTAACTAAGTAACATTTATCTAAAGAAAAAAATTAAGGATTTTGTTATCTTTTTAATGAATGGTACAAAGTAGCAAAGTAACACAAATGATTAGAAGACAAAACATAGTTTGCAATGTATCACTGTTCAGATTACAGTTAACCTCTTTAGAGACAAGTATATGCTGCGATTTGACCTATTAATTTTGAAGAATGAATCCCTCTTTGAGGAAACCCAGGTCAAGCGTCATATGTAATATGTGGTTATTTATTGCATATTAAAGAAGACAGTTCAGATGGTTGGCACAACTGAAGTTACATGCGTGTCAGGGAGGATTTCAATCCCAGGCTTATAGAGCAGGCCAGGAAACTTGGTGGCCGTTCATATCCACCCTCTAAGGACGAAGGTTCATTTTCACAGGAGACCCCGACTGCTATTACTGCTCCCTTCTAAAAATGCCTTCTGAGAGGTCATTTCAGTTCTGGGTTATTATCTTAGTATCCTACTGTGAAGCATGGCACAGGACTTCAGGGAACCTTGGTACTCACACCACAGCACCAATACCACCTGCCAGCATAAACACAGTCATTGTGATGATGCAGCCATGAGAATGCCCTGCAACATCTCAATGGATTCTTAACACCCTTGACAGGGGTGGAATCACCAGGAATGGTGGACAGGGACCTACTCAGCTCAGCTGCTGGCAGGAATCCAGAAGACCAGTTTCTGCCCTTGACATCAGTATGGAGCAAAGGACACACATCGAGCAGGTACCTGCCGAGTGGAGAGCGGCACACGGCTCACGTCAGTCACAGTCTCCACAGCGGACACTCTCCAGGTGGGATGCCGTAAGACATGACAGACACGCCCTGAGTCTTCACTCCTGGTTCTAAAATACGATTTCAGAGCTGTTATGTATCATAAAGAATGACAAGTGGCACTTAATATGTTTAGTAAACCCAGTTTATTTACATAATATGTATTTTGTCATGCAGTTTACTGAATTGCACTCGGTGTAATAACAAAAACAGACAAGCACTGTCTTGCTATTTGAAAATGGCTTTATAAAGATAATTGTTTCTTAAATTAGTTAACTACAACCCTATAAATTGCTGGACAATTTAAAACAGCCATAGATAATCTTAAAATGTATTTGTAAAGTCTGTAGGAAAAAGAGATTTTACTGTTTACACACTGGTAAAATTGAAACCAGTCTTTTTTAGTACTGTAACTGGATAGTATACTTTTAATCTTATTTGAATAAATCTATAAAAACAATAACTTAAATATACATCATTACAAGGCTCAGATTTATAGGCAGTTTTAAAATATTTTTTAACGTTAACAACATATTAAAGTTTTTAACAGTAGTGCTGTGCACACAGTAGGTGGTCATTAAACACTGACATACAGAAGTGTTTATAGTTGACAGCAATCCACATTCATTCATTCCCTACTTTATAATAAATATAGTAAAGAAAAAAATGAGAGGCTAACTCTCTTACAACATTTAACAGTTTCATAAAAAGCAGAAATGTTTACACAGAAAATTCTCCCTAAAGTCAAACCTGTACACTACACCTTTTATATTCAAATAAAAAGTCATTAAAAAACACAGTATGCTTATGAATTAATTCAATGACAAATATTAATACGCTATGATGAAAAATCAGAAATTTTAAAAATTAAAAGTGAAACTTAAGGTTCAATTTTGTTTTGAGAAAACGTTATAATAAAAATGGCTCCACACTTAAAATAATGACTTTTCCCTCATTTATAACTTAATTATAACTACTCAATGTATTTTGTTTGGCTAAAATGACAAAGTATCAACTTAAAAGCAGTAATATCATGTAAGCCAATAGGGATGTTTTAGGGATGCTTAGTTATCCTACCATTGTTGCACCTAACCCTTCTACCACTGAGCATATAATCCAGTGTGTGCCCTTAGAAGGTAAATGAGCCATTTTCAAATTCGCCTTCTATTCTTATAAAGGGGTGACATGGGTGCCCCTGTTGAGCCTACAGGGAAACTGTCCTTGCAGAGAGACGAGCATGGCAATTTTAGATCCAAAAACACTACACTGGAAAGACACACAGCATCTGACTGATGTTTCAACTGAGGCATGTTAACATGACTTTCAAATATTCCATGTACAAAAGGCAGTCAGAGAATAAGCTCCATCAATAGTAGAATATTCAGTAATTCTACCATTCTGAAAAGACACCAGTAGTTAAAACAGCTTGTGTAACTCATTAAGAAGCTTGGGTAATGTTTTATATTACAATAAACAAGCTGAGTTTTTAATGAATATTTGCTTTGAAGGATTTAATTTATGCATTTGTAAAGACCACAGAACAAGGGGGTAACACTGTGGGAGAGGGCAGTAAGATCAATTTTTTAAGTATATGTAGTAAAAAGTTTAATACTTCAGGTCCAAATATGGTTTATCCATACTCTGAGTTATCAGCACAGTGCTAACACATGCATAAGCAGAGGACCAGAGCACAGGCAAATAACCACATTGTCAAACGGGGCATCTGCATGACTTTGCTCTAAGGCTTAAGGTTCATTTCAGGGTCAAGACAGGGCCATTTAAATTTTGCGGCCTTGAAAGTAGCACCCATACAGCTGAAAACCCCGTCACCAAGAAATTTAGGACTGCAGATTCAGAGGGATCAAAAAACCTGCAGTCCACTCACAAGAATTCAGTTATTGGATGGAATTAAATAATATCTGGAATTCAAATGTTTAGTGTCTGATACTTGGTTACTAGGCCACAGAGTTTGTTGCCTGATCACGTAATTCATTTAGAAAGAGATTCTTATCTGACAGGAAATGAAAATGCCAGTTCTTTCCCTCAACACCTCAAATTACAACAGAAGTTTAAAGCTTTTGTTTTGGCAAATTAAAATACTCAGCGTTCCTAGGGAGAGGAGAAACTGCAGCTGAAGAAGTTAGACATCAGTGCCAGCTTCCTGCAAACTATGTATTTAAGGCTGTGATCACTCACATCACGACCCTTGTGTGTATCAAGCACAGGCTGTCATAACCCTTGCCTGGATTGGGTAGGCACTTAAATGTGACACTTTACTGGAAATATCTTCTATCAGAGTAACCACACAGGTGACTCCATTTTCTAATGGAGATGAGCCCTTTCGAAGGAAATTAAGCTGGTGTTAAGTACAATGAAGCCTATTCTACACGAGTTTCATATTCACTGTTGTTATTCAGCTGTGTCTTGTGATTGCCAACTAAATTTTCACTTTCTGTACAAACAGCAAATTAATAGTTTTAAGGGTCTGTAAAGCAGTTACTGCTACAGATCCCCGAGTATATCTTTTCAATTTTTATAAAGCATTACTCGTATTAAACGAGAAAAAAGGGACAACTCACGGGAGCCTTAGAAACAGTGGGGTTACAAACCCCCCACACACGTATTGCTCAGCCCTGCATCCTCAGGCAGCCGTACCTGCATTCACACGTGCGAGGCAGAGTCGGGGCAAGGCTTGCTGTGTCTGTACTGCATGACGTACACGGTTGACTGGTGCCACCAGTACAGCATGACCACGGCGAGGACGTGCCATATCTGGTGGCTTGACCCGAGGTAGTTTAGTTGTCCTGGAAGAAGGACAGAAGAAAAATCATGTTGATGTTCATACATCGGTATTGAGACCAAGTCTGTTTCCTCCTTAGGCTTTGGAAGTACAACTTCGTAAGAAGAAAACTCTGGTGCTCTCAGAGTTTCTGGAGACTGGAGATTGATTCAGACCCAAATGTTTTAAAAAATGGATCGACTTATATTTGCGTCTTATTTTAAAGTTTGACTCAATAAGCACACAGGCAAACTTCAGAAATGCTCAATGCTGTTTTCAAAATCTAACCTAGTTAATTTCAGGAATTTGGCCTTTTTGAGTTGACCTGTCTCAACTCATGTATCTGGTGGACTGAAAAACAATCCTAAGCCTTGGTGACAGAGTGACACTCCAACTCAAGAAAAAAAAAAAAGGAAAACAAAAGGAAAAAAGAAAAACAATTCTATGAGAGGCAGAAATGCAGTGTTAAAATCCAGGAGGGATTCAGGCAGGTGTGCAGGCAGCAAACACGCTGCTGTGTTTAGACGGAAACCTGCCTAGCAGCACTTCAAGCCAGTGAGCAAGGAGGTGGCTCGGCCCTGAATCCTGGGCTCTCCAACTCATGGAATTCTCTGCCAGATGTCATAGTAATGGGCTAGTTAAGACTGATTCATTTATGCAACTTCAGAGAATCTCTCTGTGGTTAAATAGTTAAGCATCTTGTTCTCAGTAAATAAAATACAGAGCTGTAACAATTTAAATGGTTATGTAAATATTCTCTCTTTCTCTCCCTTCTTACCAAGAATAATAACCAGCATAGCGCATAGATTTAAAAGCGTAAGTCAACAAGACACTTTCCAAAGGGTCTTCTCCTTTGTGTCCCACAGGCGCCTTTGACAGTCTAGTGAAGCCTTCAGACCCATTTTGGAAAACAAAATACAGAGGATTATAAAGAAAATTGATTATCTGTAATACAAGTATCCAAGATACACTCAATCCATGGACACTACTGTGTTATCTATGTACTTTTTAAACATTTAACCTGAACTGAGTGAAAGCTTATAGGTTTAATTTTTTTTCAATATTCTGTCTGCATTGCCCACACTTCTCCTTACAACAAGATTACACATGAGGACTGCCCAGACAGGTCTTAAAGGCATTTATACATGAACCTTGAGACTACTCATCACTTTTGCAGTCTCCTACTCACTGCTCTAATGAACTTGTACTCAACCAACATCCTTTACATGGGGCATATTTTCTGTCAAGTTCAACTTGGGGAAGTTTAAGCTAAAAAACATTTGATTGCTTTTAAGGTGTCCTGTGTTAGACAACTGGTAACTCCTGACCTGAATGTTTTAACTTAAAACACTGTAGTCATATAACAAAAAATTATCATAGTTTAATTTTCTACTTGTCTGTTATGAAGAAAAAAACATTTTAAAAATAATTATTAATAAAGCAATAAAAACTGTATTTATTTACCAGAATGGTTTACAGAGGAAAATTCTAGCCCTGCCTGGAAGATAGGTCAGTTCACAGCATATCTTAGACCTTTTCCTAAATCCAGATGTCTACACTCAGGCTTCTCTTGCAGCCCATTCCCATTTAAACACTGTAGTGAAAAGCCACTTGCAAGAGGAAAGAGGGAGGACACCGGGTATTCCTTCTCTAGGGCTTCTCATCCTTGCTCCTTCAACTGCACACAAGAAGGTATACACAAAGCAAAGGCTGAGGATCTTGGGTACTCCTTCTCCAAAGGAATGCCTGAGGATCCTAGGTACTGCTCCCTCCAGGGCTTCTAGCCCAACCCCTTTCACAAGCACCTGTGATGCAAGTAAACAGGAATGCCTGAGGATCCTGGGTACTCCTTCTCCGGGGCTTCTCACCCTGCCCCCTTGACAGCACATGAGACTAGTGTTAACAGAGAGTACTTGGATCCTGAGTACTCCTTCTCCAGGGTCTGAGGGTTCTGGGTACTCCTTCCCCCAAGGCTTCTCACCCTTCATCCTTTGCTTGCACACATGATATGTGTACACAAAAGAATACCTGGGGATCTGGAGTAGTCCTCCAGGACTTCACCCTTCTTCACTCACTAGTATACGGGATGCGTGTACAAAGAGAAATGTCTGAGGATCTTGTGTACTCCTTCTCCAAGGATTCTCACGCTTCTTTACCAGCACACGTGATGCGTTTACACAGAGGAATGCCTGAGGACCCTGGGTACTACTCCTTCAGGGTTTCTCACCCTTGCTCCTTCACCTGCACACAGGACTAGTGTACACAGAGTATGCCTGAAGATCCTGGGTACTCCTTCTCCAGGCCTCTCGCTCTTCCCCCTTCACATGTACACACAGGAATGCCGGGGAATCCTGAGTACTCCTTCTCCAGGGATTCTCACCCTTCCTCCTTCACCTGCAAATGAGATGTGTGTACACAGAGGAATGCCTGAGAATCCTGGGTACTTCTTCTCTAGGACTACTTACACTTCCTCCTTCACCAGCACACATGACATGTATACAGAGGAATGCTTTAGGATACTGGTTACACCTTCTCCAGGGCTTCTCACCCATCCTCTTTCACCAGTACACATGATGCACGTACACAGAGGAATGTCTGAGGATCCGGGGTACTCCACCTCTAGTGCTTCTCACTCTTCCCCCTTTGCCAGCACATATGATGTGTGAACCCAGAGAATGTCTGAGGATCCGGGGTACTCCATCTCCATGGCTTCTCACCCTTCCCCCTTCATCAGCACATGTGATTTGTATACACAAAGGAATACCTGAGGACCTGGATACTCCCTCTCCAGGGCTTTTCACCTTTTCCCCTCCACCTGCACTCATGATATGTGTACACAGAGAATGTCTGAGAATCCTGAATACTCCTTCTCCAGGTCTTCTCACTTTTCCTCTTTCAACTGCACACATGACGAGTGTACACAGATTAATGTCTGGGGATCCTGGGTACTCCTTCTCCAGGACTTCTCACCCTTCCTCCTTTATCTGCACACATTACACGTGTACACAGAAGACTGCCTGAGTACTCTGGGTAATCCTTCTCCAGGGTTTCTCACCTTCCCTCGCCAGCACACGTGATGCATGTACACAGAGAAATGCCTGAAGATCTTGAGTACACCATTTCCAGGTTTCTCAGCCATCCCCCCTCTCTAGCACACATGACATGTGTACACAGAGGAATGCCTGGGGATCCTAGGCTCATTCCCTTTTCTCTTCACCAGCACAAGTGATGCATTTACAATACATCTCCGATTCACTGGGGAAGTGAATCTTAATCCAGGAAAAAGGAGGGATAAGTTTGCAGTTTGAATTCAAACTGCTCCCTGATCTCTAGCACTCCAAACGATTTTGTACTCATAATGTTATTTTTGACTCAAACCGAAGCGTACCTGGACTTGCATATTCTGTTTCTAACTAAGCCACATACTTCACTTCTAAGACTGGTTTGAGGGACTTCATCATTATCGCCAACACTCACATAGGCTTCCTACTTGCTAAGAACTGTGCCAGGGGCTTATGTCTGTTGTCTCATCTTATCCTCACAACAAGCCCAGGAGATGTAGTCTGGCTTCCATGTTTCAGAGAGGAAACTGCAGTGACAGAGCTTAGGTTAACTCTTGAGCACCTGGAGCTGGAACCCAAGCAGGCTGACTCCAGAGCTAAAGCTCCAAACACACGTTTCAGAGAATGGTGTTCACTCCACCCAATGTCCTCTTAGTAATCCTCCATCAGATGTTTCCTATGAATGAAGAACAGAGAAATCTATCCTTTCTTAAGTGAGTGGCTTTATGTGTCCTGGGAACACAGAGAGTCTTAGCTTTTACTCTTTCCTTCCTAGCACTGGGTGCCAGGAAGCTTAAAGCCAGACTTATCACCTTTATCTATTTTATAGAACTCTGCAATGTACACACTGTGGAGTGATCTGAAACCTGGCTTCTTTTCATCATCCTTCTCTAATTGTCCTTTGTTTCTTTTCTTCCCTTATTTCTTGCTTCATATATCACAGCATATATAAACTACTTTTTTAAGAACCAGTTGACTTTGAAAGAAGGAAGTGGTAGTCAATAGTGTTCTACTTTTTAAGAGAGACAGTGGCTGTGATTCAGAAGCCTCAGAGTATAACCTGAGCTTGGACACTGTTAATGAGCATTAAAGGGTGCTAACTTCAGCTAGGAACTCGGCTCACACTGTTGGGGTCAAAGGAAAAGTGTGTGCGAGCCTTGTGAACATTAAGGCTTTAGATAACATTTTGGAAATAGAAGAACCATTCTACCATCAATGTTATTAGAAAATAAAATTAAGTTTTGACGCTCTGAAGCATACATTTAGAATAAGGTACAAGAGAGACACCCACCTGGGAAGTAGCGTTCTGGGACTTTGGAAACGTAGAACAGGAAAGCAAGAAGAGCAATCACATACATCACAAGCACACGTGGCGCAAAGTCCTGGAAAGCAAAGCATGTGTTTCACAGATCTTCTTAATATTGCTAAATTTCCAGTTTATTGTGAATCTAAGAGTGGGATGTAAGATTTTAAAATCTGAATTGTTTTCCAGATTGTCCCCAATAATAAAAAACATGCTTTCAACAATGCAGGAAGCACAAAGAATGCCTGGAGGTCAGACTCCGAGGAAGCTGGAGCGTCAGTGCTCTACCCAGGGCTCTGGCCCCACCTCCATGGCAACATAAGCATATGGGCAGAGTGCAGGAACTTCAGGCAGAAAAGGCCTATGTAAGTCCTGCCTGAGAAAAAAACCTGTTTCAACATCCCAGATAGATGCCTTCTTGAATCTACTACAAGAAGCACTCCATCTCACTGATGATATGCATTGGAAAAATCTTTGTGGCCTGAGAACCTTACATGTATTGTTCCTAATTCTGGTTATAAACCTAATTTACCCAGAGCCCATTTAAGAAATAAAGACAAATTATTTCTCTTTCCTTTTCAAATATAAGAGTTATCATGGCCTCCGATTAATCAACCTCAGAGTTCTCAAATGTTATAGGACACAATTTCAACCACCTTCCAGGATTAACCTTTCTGGAACTTTTCATCTTTGGCTAAGTACTCTCTTTCCATCTTTTTAAAATTAGAGGTTATCAGAGAATTGCTCTGAAAGGTTTCCTTTGCTTCTTCACTGGAATGATCTGTGATCATGTTAGAATTCTGTCTTTGAGAACTACTGTCTACCCACATTTCTAATTTAAGATTTCTGAACATGGGACTATTCTCATTTTTCTCTGAATTTCTCTAAAATTCACTGACTTAATGGGTCTTGCTCTTCCTTTGTCATTAAAAACTTAAAAGGAATATGTTCATCACATCCAAAAATTTTGGTAACTTGTACATCAACAACCAGTTTTTCACTTCCAGGTGGAATTAAACCTGGAATGGCAGTTCCCCATCCTATTTCCTGTTTTTCAAGGCATCAAAACAGAAATACGATGTTTCCAGAGATGGCAGAATTACTGATGTCCTTCATCACTATGGCCTCAACTTCCTCCCAACTTCCTAATGTATGAAGAAAACATGGTCCTTGTCCTCAAATTGGCAAGGTGGCCAGATTACATCACACAAGTCACCTATCACAACTTCTTTTCTCTTGAGCTGCATTCCCAAAGACTTCTGCCACACTGCTGCCACTGATGCTCCCCCTCTCCTAATAAAATTCAATTACTTTGAATAAAATCTGCCTTTAAAGTCCTACATCCCAGACAAAGGCCCCCTGGCACTGGGCAGCAAGTGTATGTGATTTCTGTCAGATTTTTTGGCCCATTTGCTCATGTCAAAAATGCTCAAGTTTACTCTCGTGCACAGAGGGTTTGTATTACAAGCTCTAAGAACCTAAGTTATATTTCTAATCCTCTTCTTAGGAAACCTGAGTTCTCCTGAGGCCCTTCCTAATACATATCGCCTGTCCTCCTACAATAACTGACTCTAATGAATAGCTTGTCTTTTACTTCTAAACATATTTTTCTTAGTGGATTGAATATGCTGCTCTGGCTCCAGCTAGCAATACAGTAATGATTTCCAAATCTTAATCATTAGTCTCAACTCTGGCTTCAATTCCAGACCCGATCTCTACAAGTAAATTCCACAGGTACCTCAAACTCATCAGGTCCATTGAAATATCCTTCTTAACAGTGTCGAACCCCCTAAAAACCAACTGCTTCTACATCAGCAGACAAAGCTAGAAAATTTGGAGTTCTCATCCTCAGATAAAGACTTAGGTATTTATACACAAAGGATAACAGAAACATCTCAGAAAAAAAACAGTGAGATTTTACCTCTCCTCCTGCAAGATATGCTTATTCATATAGCTGTTAAGACTACAGTGTCAATATGCAATTACAAATACACTTTCAGATGACAAAGACCCACCTACTTGTCCTAATTATACCACTTTACCAACAGGAATAAAAATGAGAGACAAAAAATGGAGAAGAACATCGACATGGCCTACCTGTACAATAGGAGCACTAACTCCTCCATTGAGCCAAACCCAGTGAAGAGTGGGGACGACTCCATACCCCGACACAGAGCAGAAGATGGCCGAGCGCAGCCTCTGCCACTGCTGTGTGAGGTAACTGGGATGGATCTGCGCAAAGAACACAGCCAGGACCATGGCAAGCACCGTGACCAGGTACACTTGACGCCAGTACTGGAATGAAAAGAGAACATTTCAGCACAGTGACCAGGTACACCTGATGCCAGTACTGAAAGGGAAGGAGAGAACATTCCAGCACCAGGACCAGGTACACTTGATGCCAGTACTGGGAGAGAAGAAGAGAACATTTCAGCACCATGACCAGGTGCACCTGTCGCCAGCACTGGAAGGGAAGGAGAGAGCATTTCAGCACCCTGACCAGGTACACTTGATGCCAGTGCTGGGATGGAAGGGAAGAATGTTTGAGTCTGTCATTAACGACAAGGAACAGGAAAGAATAAATCTGGCTTCTACAGGACACATGCCAAAAGCTATTTACTTGTATTTTTACAAGTAAACAGGTTTATCTCCCTTCCTTAAAAATGTATGTTTCAAGCACCCTTTAGGTAACTTACAATGACAAATCAAATTCCAAGGTGAGCTGGTAAAAGACGACACTGATCCCTCCAAAGCATTTCTGGGTACCTATCATATGTCACGCACAGCTTATGTCCTGTAGACTCAAGAAGACTACGACATGACACATCCTGTGTGTGAACTCACAGACTTGGAAGGGGCAGACACATCAACACATGGTTACAAACCTGTGATATGTATTGTTAGGAGAAGGACATAGCGCAACAATGGACTTCACCTGAAGTAGCTAAAAAATGCTCCCCGAGGAGATGCTGCCTAAGCTAGGCCTTGAGGAAAACCTAAGATTCTAAGAGGAGAGCGAGCCCTCCAGGACAAAGAAGAGCAAGTACAACTGAGAGTGGCAAGAAGGCTAAAGGCAGGGGAAGCAGCAGGCTCAACTCGCTGAACTTTCCATACTGGCATGGGAGGAGCAGCAGCATTCTTCAAGTGTGGGTTAACATGGCTGGGTTTCAAACTGTCTTATTAGAAAGATAACTCTGACATGCAGGTGGAAGAGAAAGATGTGACAGAAAACCAGCTAAAAAGATACTACAATTAGAGAGCGAAAGGGGGCTGGACTCCTGCTGACACAGCAGCATGAGCATCAGGTTCCCGAGGAGTTTCTGAAATAAAGTCTCAATGCCAACTGGCTGAGAGCAGGCAAGAGGAAGGCCTGGCTGTCTTAGCCTGAAAGACACATAAATAACTTCCACTAATGGAGCCAATGAATAGAGAGGACCCAGGTCTGCTGTGTGTGTGATGGGAACAGGACATGATCATGAAGGAACGCTCACTTTAAAACAGATAAAGTTTGAAGATCTTGTTGGATCCCAAACCTTCTGAGGATCCTGCACTGCAGCCACCTTCCCAACAAGCAAAGGCTGGGCCTGGTTCAGAGCACCTGCTCCTTGAGGCCTTTGGCAGGACAGGCTTTCTTCCTTGTGAGCAGGACAGAACTAACTAGCAGGTGTACTGCCCTGGAGGAAGCTCAGTCCTGGCTCTAGAAGGAAAGCAACCAAATGAACAAGATAAAAAGTAAGAGAGGATGGAAGGACAGCAGGGGGAGAAGGGTGTCAGGCAGATGGGGTTTCTGAGTGGGAGGGCATGAGAGATGTGCTGAGCTCATGAGACATGGCTGGACCATGAGGGGATGGATAGGGAGTTGTAATCCACAGGCCCCCATTTAGGGTAGGTGCTCCATTAGCTGATCAATGTTGACAAAAACTGACTTCTGTGTAATCTTGGTTCATATCTCAGAAGAGACACATCACACATCTGGTGAAGATTCCCCCACCTGGTCTGTCTCCAGGACTACTCCCAGATACAACACTGAGGACAGGAAACACTGAGGACAGTTCTGTATATAGGCTAATACAGTCACAGGAATGTTTTTCACTGAGAGAGTAAAAGAAGGAAATGGAAAGTAGTGGCCACTTCATGATTTATTCAATACTAACTTCAATTCTATAAATACAAAAATAAAAGATGTATAATATGCATAACCAAGGAACCAAGTAGCCATATGGATTTAGCAGAAATATTAAAAATTTAATGTGTATATTAAGTTTCAGAAAATATACATTTTCCACTGGAAAATTAGTAAAATAAATATGGAACTAATAAAAGATGTCAGAAATCACAGGGCCTTTGTGAAAAATGGGTTTATGCCCACACAAGAGTCTTCCATTTATTCAATAAGTTAATTATATACTTATTCAGAAATTCAAAGAACTGTGGCAAGAAAACCCAAGACCTATATGAAAGGGAGGTGTCAGATGTTTTAAGCTACTTACATTATTACAGTAAAATGCATAAAACACTCCTGAGACGTAGCAGCCCAGAATTCCAATAGAAATCCCTGCATAATCTAACGCCATCCATCTTCGACAGGTTTTTTCTGACCGGTGACAGGAAAAAAGATGATAGCCCACAGAGCAAAGCATGCAGACCTGTGGAAAATAAAAACAAATCTTAGCAAAGCAAAACTCAACAAAAGTAAAGCAACTCATGTGTGATGCTCAGGAAGTGGTTAAGAGGCCAGCTTTCGAAAATCAGCACTCCTGGGCTTGGGCTCCAGCTCTGTGCCTTAGGGTAGGGAAGCCATAGCATTTCTCCAAGCCTCAGTTCCCTCAGGGGTAAAATGGGGATGATAATAGCAAATAAGAAAATGTAAAATGATAACTATATAGTAATAATATAAAAATTACTAAGGAATAGCATACTGAGAAAACTATACAAATGTTTTAATAATATCATCTGAGGCTAATTTTGATCCATAAATGAATTTACTTTTATAAAGTATTTACTATAGAAATCAAAGAACATAAAATTGTGTGATGCAAAAAAATAAGCCCCTCTCATTCAATCTATTCCTCAGAGGTAGTCACTGATAACGTTTGTGATGCCATTCCAGATATGTCATACGTCATATACCTATGATACAGAGGTTTACACACACATGCATACATGATGTGTATATATATATATTTTGAGTTGGAATCTCACTCTGTCACCCGGACTGGAGTGCAGTGGCTGCTCCTGGCCACTGCAGCCTCGACCTGCTGGGCTCCGGCAATCCTTCTGCCTCAGCCTTCCAAGTAGCTGGAACTACAGGCGTGTGCTACCATGCCCGGCTAATTTTTGATTTATTGTAGAGATGAGGTCTTGCCAAGTTGCCTAGGCAGGTCTCGAACCCACAGGCTCAGGCAATCCACTCACCTCGGCCTCCCAAAGTGCTGGTATTACAGGCTGAGCCACTGAGCCTGGCCATGATGTATAATTTTTAAAGTAATCTAATGAAATGGCACTATGCATTCTATTACACAATTTGCTTTTTTTCACTTAAAAATTTTCATGTCTGTATGAGACTCACTGTATAGAGTTTGCTTGTTTTAAGGTAAACACAGCTTTACTGCCTTTAAGAAAAAACAGTCATGACTTATTGACTTTATGGCTGCCAAACTGACAGCAAAGCGAATCCGACTCCATCAGCTGCTGCAACAACTGAGATGGCTTCCATGACAAAACTCCCTCCAGCCATCAAGTACCTGCTGCTGCGTCATACACCAAGGGGAAACCTCTACTCTCAAAGAAATGCTTCAGAATCCAGTGAGAAACAGTGCAGCAAGTGTCCTACTGGAAAAGCCAGTACACAGTGAAACCCAGGAAGGAGGGAGGATGGCTCTGTGGCACATGTGATGGTGGGGATAGAGGAGCATCGCAGTAGGCTTCTACCTGGGCTGAACCCGACAGGGGTGGGCTGTCATTCACCAAGAACATAAAAATGGTGTGCTCATGTTGGGGGTGGAGCAAGGAAACATAGTGATGGCAAGTCCTATACACTAAGGGGACTTCAACGCCAACATTACGGGCAAGCTATGGTACTGCTGAAGTTTGCAAGTTCACTCTTCCAGAGGAGTGGACCAGAAGGGCCAAGATGGAAGGCTACAGGAATAGCCCTGGAGAAAAGGCCGAGAGCCTGTACTGAGCCAGAGACAGCGAGAGTGAAGAAAATGGGACAAATAAGCAACATGCAATAGGTGCAATTGACAAACACTTGTAAGCAATGAGATGGTCATCTTGCTTTTCTATTTTCTGGGCATTAAACAAATCTAACTGGTTTCTATAAGAAACAGACTATACTCAACATAGATTCAATAACAATGTACTGAGCCGCAACTTCATTTCTTCATTCACTGCCTAAAATCCTTAATGGTCTATAGCTTTCTGGCTACTAAGCAACCAATTACTGACCCAATTAAACGTAAGTAGCTATTTGTTTTCTTAGCTTATCCGTGAGATTACACACCATAAATCAAGAGAACATCAAGGTGCATAATCTCATTGATGGAGTAAGATCCCACTGTCACAATGCTGAAATGACATAAGAGCAGGTCACAAAATAACAAGCAAAGATGACTGCAGCTTGGAAGCAGGTAGGCAGGCGAGCAAGCAGGTAGGCGAGTGTGAGGTGGCTGTGCATGCACAAATATCAAGAGTAATTTTAACCCAAATGTCAAATGTGGTTACTTCTAGGAAGTGTAATTTCAAGTGATTTTTAATTTTTTTCATAAACTTTGTTTGCTTAAATTTCTACATGAGCACTTAGAACAATAATTAAATTCATTTTATTGTGAAAAGGAAAATAAAAAGAGGAAAGAGAAAAACTATAGTATCAAAGGGAAAAGTAAAATAAATAGTAAGAGAAAACCCCAAGTTTTTAAAAGGCTAACCTATACTCAGTATGCCATTTAAAAAGGAAGGTGTTCTTGCTACAGTTTCTTTAAAAATTAACCAAAAAACAACCTGGATCTGGCAAACTGAGTATGTTTCCCTCCAAGGTGGACAGATAATGAGTGCTGCATCCTACAGCCAAGTTCCTCAGCTGGTGTGGCCTCTGCTGAGCTCTCCATCCTCATCCTTCTCCCTCCTCCTAGAATCCAACCACAAAAACCAGCACTGGCCCATTCACAAAGGGCTAACCTATCTCTTCTTCAGGAAGTTTTCAGCAACCAGCTTCAGGTTTTTTTGTTTTTTTTTTTAATTTTCACCTGCTCTCAGTATTAGGAAGGTAAAATATTTGCTGGTTGTGAATGTGTCAGCAAACTGTATATTTATAGTTTGCTATGCTGCCTGCTGAATCTAAGAATCTGGAAAACTTGGGTGAACAAATTACAATTTGATGAAGATAAAAATAAGTGCTATCTTTAAGAAGGGAAGATGTGCTCATCTGCCTCTAGTGAGTCATACCTCACAGATCAAGGCACTAGTAGTGAGGGGAACAGGGTTTTACTGCCCTGCTTAATAATCCTAGCAAATCACTGTGACCCTTTGGGTCTGGTTCTTCATTGGTGATTGTAATTATTTAATCCCTGTAGTTTTGCAATGCATTGTTTTCTTAAGCCAATATGTAAGGCTGTAACGCATATCCGCTGAACACCCACGTGGCGGGTGGTGAAGGTGTGACAGGCAGGACTGGGTCAAGGAAGAAACGGGGATTCTCCAAGCAGATAACACCCATGTGACTCACAGCAGGGAATAAACCAGTTCTTACCTTTTTTTTATTTGCATTTCTTGCTTATGTATTTATTTATACTTTTAGAGTTGTGAGGTACTAGTGAGGATGTACTACATTAGTAAGCTGCAAGGGGGTGAAGTTTGGGCTTCTAGTGGGCCTTCTATCCCACAACAGTGGACCTGGTACCCAGTGTGTTGTCCAGTTTTTACTTATTGATGGTTATTATTAAGAGCATCTTAGGCTGTGCTAAGATACACCGAAAAATTTAACTATAAAGAAATTGCTTCATTTCTACTATAAAACTGGAGATGTTTGGAGCCAATCAGGACAAAAATTAAATCTCAAAAAAGAGTACACATTTAAAAATATTTAAAAATACTTCCCTAATAACAAAAATACAAAGTACTCTTTCCACAAAGAACTTTAAAAATATTCCAGAAATTGCAATTAGAGCAAAAGAGGAAGGAAGACATTTCTGATGTGTTGCTTGGTCGTGTAAGTCCAAAATCTTAACGAGTAAAATGATGAAGATCTGGAATGCAATGTCACACAAGGAAAACAACCTCTGTGCTTTGACTCATAGGTTTACTCTCAAACAAGCAGCACAATTTAACTGCAGGGAATACTGGTCTGTGACTGACAGGAGGAAGGGGGATAATAGCCTTTTCTTTTTGTTTTTATGTTTTTCTGTACTCTTGCATTAAAATTGTTTTAAATGTCAACAGTATAATGGCCCACACTTGTGTTACACTTTAAAGTTACCTGTTTAAAAAACTACTAAATGTAACATTTAAAGGCATTTTTACAGACCCTTGAAGAAAAATGCAAGTGCCTTGAAGAAAACTGAAATTAACAAACGCAAGAAGCAGAGAGAAAGAAAAACTGAAAGTATTTAGCCCAGGCAGCTGTAAAAAGATCAAAAGAAGTTGACATTACGGTGATAGAACAAAAAATCAATACCAGCAAAATAGGACAGCAAAATAAAGATGGTATGAAAATAACAAATATAAAAATCGCAGACACAAATAGGAAAAAGACGAGAACTCTTCCCAAACAAGCTTTAAGTAGACACTAGTGTTCTCCCTCACCCAGGTAGCAGAATGTGATCAGATTCATATCCCTATGCTAATCTGAAAGTGGAAATGCCCAGAAAGGAGAAGAGGAATCAAACAAATGTTCTCAATCTTTAAAACTTAGTGGGTTTCAAATATCCTCTCATAATAACAGACTTTTTTGGTGGTTATGCTGTGAATGTGAGCAGGCTGACCGCCAGGCTACTTGTGCTCTCTAAGGCAAGTGGTAGGTCTAGAGTCAGTCACCTGCCCAACCTGCCTCACCAAAGTTCTCTTTACCAATAGCTCTTTGTGAAATGGCTTACCTGGAAGCAGAAGAGACAAATAGAACAAATTACAAAATCTTCTCTGGACGCACTTGCCGAAGGTAACACAGATGTCATGTCGTATATTCCCAGAGTGAAGAAGAGGAAGAAACCCAGCAAATGACTCCAGATGTTTACTGTCTCATTAGATAAAATGAACAAACTGGAAAGTAAACAAACATGCCACTCAGATTCATACTAGCCAGATGACTGTCAGCCTTCAAAGGCTAGTGACAGTTCTGGGTAGATACCTACTTTGCTCCTTTAAGCCCTTTCAGCCTTCCTTACCTAGCATATTGTTTAATTTAATTACTCTTTCTTTAAGTTTTCCCTCATCTTCACCAATCTTGGGATCGTAGAGCTTTTTGGAGCTCACCTCTACTATCATACTTACCACTTCCTTCCTGAATTAGAGTTACTTACATGTATATTCCATCTCATCCACCAGTCAGGCAATTCCCTGACAGCCAGCACCATTCATCTTTATGACAGCACTGTCCACAGTGCCTTGCTCAGATTGGTTCAGACTAAACGTCTGCAGAAATTAATGTGCAGATGAAAACTGGATTTAGCTGGCACACTATGATTCTCAATAACAGGTATCTGAAAACTTGCTCAGTGCAAAGTTAGGCACAAACTTGAAATACTTTTTTAGTACTCATTAAATACAAATGCAAAATTAAAGGAACCCAAGAGACACTGAATAAATATAAACAGATGCACTGGAAAGATCTTTTAAGATAGGCATGCTGTGACAACTTTGCTGTGGATGTTTTAAAACCAAATTAGTTTCCAGGTGGTGTTAAGTTTTTTCTTTTTAGAAACATCACTTTACTTTTAATACTCAGTGCCCTTTTTCAGAATATCCCGGCAGCACAGGTTGTGAAATAGTTCTCCAGATGCAAGTAGGAAGCATCTGATTACTCACTGAAAGGTGACATCATGACTAAGGATTAAGATACTCTTGCACTTCTCTTGCAAAATCCAATCTTTTTGCTTTAACTTAGGTCTTGGGCCTCATTGATTCATAAACATTAATATGCATTTACGTAGAACTCTAACCTAATTAATTTGCAGTGAACACTATGGTTCATTCCCATTTTTTCAAGTGATAAACACTGCAAGGTCTCAAAATGATCAGATGATTGTCAAAAATACAGTGGATCTTGTATCATGCACTTCCCGCTTCATCCTAGACAAGCATCAAATACTAAGACTGTTTAACACGTGGGGGGTGGGGGGGGTGGGAGATGACCGAAGGTGCTGGGGAACAGTCAGCCACAGGTCTGTCCAGACAGTCCATGCTGTGTTGCTGTGTTCGGCCTACTGCCTCAGAACCTTCCCTTTAGTGAAACCCAATAAAACCTGATTAACTGAACTGAGAGGCACATTCTTTTCGGTTCCTTGCAACTAACGAACTGAAAGAACTGTTAGGACATAAAACCTCCCCCATATTCCAAATGTCTGGGTCACTCTTGAAAGCGAAAAGAAGAATGGGCAAAGACTAAAAAACTAGGAAAAGACTAAGCTGGTGGGAACAGCACTTGGAAGATCATCTCCAGTGGAGAAGCTACTCTTTCTGTATCAAGTCAGGTGCCTCCATACAGTGGTTGGCTTCAAAACCAATGGTGATGATCACAGCTCCATTTATTGAGGGCTTATTTGGTGCCAGGCCCTGTGTAGCATTTTATATACATAATCCCACTTAATCTTTATTACTTTCTGAAGCAGATCCTGTGATTATCCTCACTTTTGCACATGGGGAAAAGGTTCAGCATGGTTGAATTTTGCTTCAGGTCCCACAGCTGTCAGATGGCAGATCTGGATGCTCAAGTGTCACTCGATGGCTCGGAGTCGAACAAGCCACACCTCACCTCCCACCTCCTGAGCTCTGGAACCTAATGCGAAAGTAAAAGACTCCTGCCAGGCACGGCTAAAATACTCAAGGCCGCCTGTAGTTCTGACTATGTGAAAGGCTGAGGTGGAAGGATTGCCTGAGCACAACAGGTTGACGCTGGGTGGCCGTGAGTGTGCCACTGCACTCCAGCCTGAGCGACAGAGTGAGACTCCAACTAAAAAAAAAACAACAAACCACTCAAGGCAATTTGCTGCTGGCCCTCTCCTCTCGAAACTCCAAATTCCCAGCAGGGCCCAGCTGTGTAACAACTCACGCACAAGAGGAACTGGGGAGCAAAGTGGGAATTAGGCTCCAACTAGTGAATCCTATAGGCCTTCCATTCAAGTCGTGTAGGTGTGGACACTGATGTCACCTTATGACCATGCTGGAAAGAAGATCAAGGCGGGGTGCTGGAGACTTCAGCAGCCCACACTTCTGGGTTTGCCATGGATGATCTGGAGCTAACCAACGCCTGTCTTTATTCTCCTAAAGCAGGGGTCCTGTGTTTTAGTACACACAGGGAATTCTGACAGAAAGCTACTCTAAGAACTGCAACAATAATTTTTCAGCTTTAACACAGGATTTCCAGGTCTGTGATTTTAAAGGTTTATAATGATAAAGAAACTCCTTTCTCTGAGATGCTCCCGTGATGCTCCAGTGCAGGCTGGGTGCCCCGTTATGGGCTCTCTTTGCTACAGTGTTTTTCGTACACAGAATTCTTCACAATGGCTATTTCGTAATCGTGTAACTATCTCTTTAATGTCTGTCACCCAGACTACACCTCAGCAGCTTCATGAGAATAAGGGCCACATCTGCTACTTTCTGCAGGATCCGGTGCAGTGCCTAGCACCTGGCTTGGACTCCACAAGCACTCGATAAAGGAGCACATCTGTATACATGACCACGTGAACTTGCTTCCTAAATACTGGCATTTACCCGGTCCAAGCTTCTGCCTCCCCACAGGGCTGCTCTAGGAAGGGACAAAGCCTGGCACACGCCGGATAGATGCAGCACAGTCATTGTCAAGGAGGGCGGATTCCAGCACGCGCCCCGGCAAGCGACAAGCCGAACAGCGGACGCAGAAGACCCCAGGACGAACACAGTGCCCGGGAGGGCTGTACGGCGGCCACGGTCACCCCCTGGCTATCCCGTGGACCCAGCCCCGGCGAGCCGGAAGAAACACAAGGAGAAGGGGAAGGCCGGCGGCGAGGGGCGGGGGCGGACGGACAGGCGGGCGCGGCCGTACCTCCGGATGCACAGCCGGGAGGGCAGGTAGGCCCGGTAGCCGTCGGTGATGTACGGGTTGTCCCTGAGCGACACAGGAATCTGCTCGTAGGTGTAGAGGCGGATGCCGCGGGGCACCAGCACTGGCCAGTACTGGTAGCCGCCCAGCTCGATGTAGTGCGCGCTCCGCAGCAGCTTCTGATGCATACTTCCTGGCCGCCGCCCCGGGGAGGGGGCTTCGCCGACTGACCCCCGCCCCGGAGCCCAGGACGCCGCGCGAGGTCGACCGGCCCACTGCCAACCAGGTGTCCGCGCACGGCCCGGCC